GGACTGAGACTTACCACTTCTTCCAGGCGTATACTGTCGGAAATTTTTATGTCAGACTTTGTTAATTGTATTTAGTTTTTTAAAATTGGGTCAAACAAAAAACCAGTAAAACTCAATAAAGTTATGTGATCCAAATAGATATAAGTTTTATCTCAGTTTTATATGGTGTAATATGAATAAATGTAGAATGTGAAATTAAAGGTGGGTTACTTAATAGGGTGTCCAAACAGATTATTATAATAAGTTAGATCTTCTCTCTTATTTATAAAACCTTATCTCTATAAATAATAGAATTAGAGAGTAGCATGACCCATTGATTGTTACTATACAGAAGTTGAATAGAGAGAAGAAGACTTAAATCTCAAATATTAACTATATTTGTGTTTATAAGTTTTGTCATGAGATTTCTAATTATGATAATTCTTGAAGATCTTTGAAAATTCTTGAGTAATATATTGATTATAGAGATTTAGGTATATAATTTATTTATTTATTGATTTTGTGTATTACATATATTACTAATTTGAATGATTTGATATTTTAGAATCTAATTTGGGAGATTAATTACTTAAGTAAATTCCAACATATACAGAAATTCCAACATATACAGGGCACGAAGACAGGGCAGTGTGTGGCAATACAACCAGGAAAAGTTCTGCATTTTTGAAATCAGCAACAGAAGCTGTGAACAGTGCTGTCGAAGCAGCACCAGGCAATGAAGGCTACGGTCGTGCTTATATGGCTGTTTCAGGGACAAATGAATCAGCTAGTCTTGGCAAACTGCTGGACGTCATTGAGGGAGAATTCTTGTAGATTGTGTTTAGAGAACGCATCCGCATCCATATTAGGATGCTTGCCTGGGTAAGAGTGGAGAGCTCTTAACACAGGATGCTTCATGAGGTACTCGGACAAAGATTTCCTCAACAAAGTTCCTGCAAATGGACGTTCAAGAGGTAAAAAAAATCACAGATTTTATTCCTTTTAGAGTATCTTATTGTTTTAAACATATTTTACCTAGTTTGAGATGAGGTCAAAATTCCTATGCTTTTATTTTCTTGCTAGTTCTAGATTTACTTTGATGAATTTGCAGGAACCATTGTAGTGCTGTAGTTTCCGTTGTCAGTTCCCTTCTTGTTTTGGGAGTTGGTTTAGCTACTGGACTTTATACATGGAAGCAGAGACATATACAGAAGAGAAGAAAAGGAAAAAAATTGTTCATTAACCCAAACACCTGCGAAGTTAGAAGTAATGATGCATTTTATACTTGTTAGCAAAAGCAATTTTCTTTTCCAGTATCAAATGATGCAGAACGATTACTGAAAACCCCTATTGACAGTAGCTTAAACTTTTAAGTATTCTACCCTTGACAAGGCTACAGAATCTTTCGCAGAAGCAAACAATATTGGTCAAGGAGGATTTGGAACGGTTTAAAAGGTAGGTTTAACTCTGACATCTACTCTTCCTTTACACATTGGAGAATGATAAAAATTCAATTGTTGTAATTTTCCTTTTATTTTTCCTACAGGGAGTTCTACCTGATGGAAGAGAGAGAGCAGTAAAGAGGCTATTATTCAACAACAGGAATAGAGCAGCAGAATTCTATAATGAAGTGAACATAATAAGAAGTGTGCAGCATAAAAACCTGGTAAGGTTGCTAGGATGTAGCTGTTCAGGACGTGAAAGTCTTCCTGTCTACGAGTTCCAGCCTAACAGGAGCCTTGATCATTTCATCTTTGGTAATCACCAATATTTTTCAAGGCTGGAGTCAGAAATCCGATAATAGTTACACCATGTCAGTAACAAATGTTTTCATTTACATTTTTTTTTTCTAAAAAACACGACAGATCCAGACTGAGGGAAGGTACTCAACTGGGACAAGAGGCATGATATCATTTTACCGGAACTGCAGAGAGTTTAGTCTACCTTCAGGAAAACTGCAGGATGAAAATAATTCACAGGGATGTAAAAGCTAGCAACATCTTACTGGATTCAAAGCTCCATGCAAAGATTGCTGACTTTGGGTTGGCAAGGTCATTCCAGGAAGATCAAACTGACATCAGCACAGCCATTGCTGGAGCCCTGTAAGTATCTTATTCCCTTTTTTTCAAATGCCAAAAGGAATTAAAAGTTCTGTTCACCCAAGACCAATCATGCACCCAAGTAAAGATAACGAAATTAAAATATGTATCTCTTAGAGAAGTAATAATCTGTTCTTGATCCGCAGGGGATATATGGCTCCAGAGCACCTAGCTCGCGGCCAATTAACAGAAAAAGCAGATGTCTATAGTTTGGGTGTGGTTTTACTGGAGATTGTTACAGGGAAGCAAAACAACAGAAGCACAGCCTTGGAATATTCTGACAGCCTAGTTACAATTGTGAGTTTCAGAAACTCCATCTTTTCCAACTGAAGTTGATTTGTGTTTGACTATTTTCTCGGTTGGACAGACATGGATACATTTTCAATCGGGGGTGGCGGAAGAGCTTTATGACCCAAATCTAATGTTAACACAGCTGCTGTAACGGCAATGTGAAGAATGAGGTTCTGAGAGTGGTATATATAGGACTTCTGTGCACCCAAGAAATCCCAAACCTAAGACCATCAATGTCGAAGGTGCTGCAGACGCTAAGGGAGAACGAAGAAGGAAGAACTCCTCCCTGCACCCACTAAGCCTCCTTTCGTGGACGAAATAACTATGGAGCTAAACAACACATGCGAGGACCCATGCTATCCCCTAAATGCAGCTGATTCTGCATCAATTACAACGATGGAATACAGTACTTTCTATGCAAGAAGATCACAAAATTTGAAGGGGAAGATAAATGTCAATTTCGCAAAGGATTTTGAGAATAAAGTGAAAATTTAGCTTGATGGAGTGTCTTCTTCTGAACATTTTATGATATAGTGATGATTGTAGATATAGGTATGACCATATAACTATATGAGTACAGTGACTACAGTTTTCTACTTTTATCACGAGGCGTTTTTTCAGGGCATGCAGACTACATTTTAAATTTGTAAATATAAATATAAAAGAGAATAATGCATATCACTTTTATTTTTTTTTTTAAATAAGATGTTAATCTATATTTCAAATTTAAAATTTTAATCTAAAATTCAAAAATCTTAAATCTAAATATTAATATTAAATAAAAATTTTTAATTTTTAATTTTTAAATCAAAATATTAATATTTAATAAAATAAATTTTTAAATTTTAAATTAAATTAAATTAAATAACATAATTTAAAGTTAAACCTCTAAATTTCTTTTTCAAAGTCATGACTAACATTCATTTTTCCAATATATAATACCTAATGATCTTTAAGAGACTTTTTCTCTCAACTCGCACTTCAAACAATTCTGCTCATCTTCTCATTCATGGATCAGATTTAACATATATATATATATATATATATTTGATGCGCAGATCAGATTAACATAATAACATATTGAAAATAATCTAATCAAATTAGGTTAAAGAAATTAATTAATTAATTAATTAGGTGTAGCAATATTACAGAAATTAAACAGATAAATTAAAAACCACCAAACGAATGGCTAGAACACTACTCCAAGCCAGGGAAGTATTTTCATTATCACCACTGTGCAATTGGAGGAATATACACGGAACAAATTACAAAATTTATTTCATTTCCTAGGGAGCAAACATCCCAATAACAGTAAAGTATGCAACTCTGCATTAAGAATAAACATAAAAGATGCAACACGTACGAGCAATAAATTATCTTCAGATATATTTAAGAATGTACATGCAACTCAGTCATCCGTTAAGAACTGACCAGAAAGGTTATCCATAACTGAAAATTGCATGTTCTCAGATGGCTTCCAGTGACGCTTCCGTTGGTTTATGAACCAGTTGTTAATCTGCTTCTGGTCTAGCCCAGTTGATTCGGCTAGCGCCATCTTATCAGCTTCCTGAATCAAGAACAAGCATGTTAGTGGCATGGCAGATTAACAACGCATCTAAGGCTTTCAAGTTTTTCTTTTACCGTAGGATATGGCCATTTGTAGTGAAGATTCCACCAATCAAACAACATTTGTCTTGCTTCTCTTGGCAGCTTTCCTTTCTTTTTCTTCTTTGAAAACTCCAGCTTCAAGTTACTAATGTGACTGCCAAACCTACGTAAAAGCCTGTCTTTAAGATCTCTGTCCTCACTCCTCACTTGAGCCTCCTGTAACTCTAGCTCCCCGCCACTGACATCCTCATCTGAGGAGCCAGTTCCTTCTTCTGTCCAGAAAATGAGGAAATGAAACAACTATTGTCTACTGCAATTTGAAACGCAAAATAATAATAATAATATGATTTTTACCATATACAATAAGATTAAGAAACTTTTCATTTGCAATAGCCAGTTAGTAATTATACAAGAGAAGACAATTCCACAGGATTAAACTCAATGGGTCAAAGCATTCAACTAATAAATACTCCCTCTGTTTAAATTTATCCATTCATATAACCAACTCTCAACCGACCAAACACCCAAATTTAGCTAATTCTTTTACATGGTCTACAAATTACAATTAGAATTTTTGTTTTAATACATAATTCTTATTAAGTAGTTTCATTTCATAAGAAACATTCTATTTGCCATTCATATATTATAAAAACATTACTTAAAGTAAGATGCAGGGTTAGTGAAGAGTTAGTTTTATGTGCAGATGAATAGGAATGGATTTTATGTGCAGATGAATAAGGATGGAGGGTGTATAGTTTTAAGCTTTCACGGTTGGATTTATTGCAGCTTTCCTAGTTTAATATGTTGCAACCAATGACAAGATGGAAAAGAAAAACAATATACTACTGTAGAACTTAAGCTGGGGCAGCAAATGGGACCCACAATTCTAGACATGGTTCCTCAAAGTAAGAATGCACTGCGCATGGACTGAACACTCCACAAACTTGCAGTACCAAGGCCATGACCTGTTGCAGAATGGAGGCTGAAAAGAACGCAGTGAATGGTTATGTCAACTTATTGTCTAGACGACTCCAAGCCCGATGGACATGACAGTACAACCATCAAAATAAAGGTCAAAACATCTTAATTTTGAAGGTTTTAAGCTCTTTAATTATTTTAATTACTTTAAGTACTTTTTTTTATTTATGAATTATAAAAAATATATATTTTAATCTTCCTGTTATCTAGTTCATTAAATACTTACATGTGTATTTTTTTAGATTTTAAATTTATAAGATATGCACATATATAAATAAACTTAATAAATTATCTAACATAAAAGATAAAAAAATATATTTTTTATAATTTAAGACAATGGAAAAAAAATAATTCAAAAACTTAAAAATTCAAAATTAAAAATTTGGAAATTAAAATTGAAATTTAACTAATAGTAAAAAAGAAAAACACCCCACGCACCCATCTATTCAAAAATGAAAAACTACTCACCCAGTCACCCATAAGATATTAAATAATCATTCCTGTCATAAACTGGAACCGCTACTGACTCTAAATTCTCTAAATTGGGAACCATTCAGCGTAATCTTGCGCCCAGAATGGGCCCAATCCTGTTAACGCATATAAATTCTCAGCATGACCTAGAACCCAATCAGTAACGGCCCTGGACGGACTAGTGCGCATGACTTAATTGACCAGCTTGCAACAACAGCCTGTTTTCACATAAAAACATCGCCTCCATATGAAATACATGCTCCTAGTCGATTAGTATACTATTACCCACCCAATCTCGTTAGCAACTGAATCTCTTTCAACTATTGATTCATTTGACTACTCTTTATATAATTTTTTCACACTACGACCTTTTTAAAAAATATATAAATATTTTATTTTTAATTAATTTTCCCACGTTTTACTTCGTAGTTTTTATTAATATTTATATTATCTTAGAAAAAAATTAAAAACCTACATTTACGGCTACAGCGCAACACACTTAACACTTCCCAACCAAGCCTGTATAGCAAAATTTTATCTCACAAAAACTCGTACAATAATCACATAATATTCAAGGAGTGTTGCATGATACTAAACAAATTACTCTCTCTTTTTACGGAAAGTACGTAACAAAACGAGTTGCATATCAGTTCTCAAACCATGCTAAATAGGAAAAGCAAATAAAAACTATATTTAAGATAAGAACGTATGAACCAATTTCTAAAAGAAAATCTCATCGTAGTGCGAGTTTTAACTTGCAATTTTAAATAAGAGAAGCCAAATATTAAAGAGTTGGTGGGAGTGGGACCAAAGGAAAAAAAAAAAAGAAGAAGATGGCACAGCTGGGACCCAAAGGTGACAACAGTTACATGCTACCCTGCGGTGCAGACACGTGTGAAGCATCATAGAAAAGAACAGAGACCCATCGGGGAAACAATAAGATGTCCATGGAAATGACAGGCCCGCACTAAGCAGAAACTGAATAGACCAGAGAGACGAGAGGGACAGCATATGAATGGGATTTGATCTGATTACTTACTATCCCTGTTGATCAAAAGCCTGGTGGGTTCACAGCGAAAACTGCGGGAGTCCATGTGAAACTCCGACCACCCAATCAAAATCAGGACTTTGCCTATAAGCGAAAAAGGTTAATTTTTGCTTTTAGGAACCCTACACGGCTGTTCACCCAAACTCCTTTCAATAACTACTACCACTTTCATACTTGCACCGAAATATTTTCTTCTAAGGTGGTCAATACCTGCCTAAAAATGCATCTGGACCAGCAAAACTTGTGAGTCACATGGGCATTCAAGCCTAAGGAACAGGATAATATCACGTAGCCATGTGCTCTATTAAATATGACTCACACCCAGAAAAAGAAAGGGAAGAAAAATGTAATGTTAGGCTACTTCTAATGTTAGGCACCTAAAAATGCATGAGCACGTGGGTATTCCAAAAATTTTGGATTCAATTCAATCAAACATCTCTCAACTCATATCAAATGGCCAATTAATTACCTAGAAAATTCACTGCAAATGCAAAAAATCAGCTTAGACAGAAAATCTGATCACTGCGTTTTCAATAAACAAGAAAAGTCGCAGCATCATACAAATAATGACTCACATGCAGCGCTAAGCAAACATTAGAGAAAAAAAATGAATAAAAGGGAAGGGAGATTGCAACTGTTATGCATAATAAAGTTGCTTACAAAAAAAATGCAAATGAAGTTTATTGCTAATGATCCATACCATGGCGCAAATGTGCAGTTTCCATGCAATATTAACTAATTCGAGTTCAAGATCTCCAAGCAGCATCAGAAAATATGGTGAGGATTGAGATTATCCAGTAAAATGATGGTAAAAGGAAATATTGAATCACAACACTGGCATGAAGCAATAAATGTAAGTGCAAATATTTATGTGATCACCATTCCTTATAAATTACCATTTAGTTCTCATTTAATTAGGCCTCCACCACTCTATAAACCATGAAATCCATTTTCAATTAGATGCACGTCAGAACAGATTTTATGCAATAATGCCATCATTAAACAAGATTATTCAGTTAAATCTACAAGTCTACAACTAAAATCTAATAGGAAGACCAATCTATCAGAAGCATAACAGGGAAAAACATGATTTACAAGCCACTTGTAAATTGTATGCAAGCATTCCTAATGTCAAAATGGTTCACACATGAGCCAGTACTGGACATGCAAAAACGCTTCCAAAAATCCAAGGTCTTGCAACAATGGCAGCCAGGCAGTTAAGCACCCATACCCAAACTAAGCACGTGAAATCATGCCAATACAATGTCCATATTGATCTCTACAATAGTTGGGTGTTTAACGAATTGCAATTCCTTTTTCCTTTTGAATGGTGTCAATAAGCTAATCAGTTCACCATAAAGTACTAAGCACAAACCATTAAAGCAGAAGAGAAATAAAGTAAACATAAGACTATTAAAATGATGATAACATCATCAAAAAGGTATTTTGTACTTTCAAGCAAAAACAATAATAGTTGCCAACCGTCAACAATTGATCTACAATCTTTTCCACTTCAAATTTTCATTTATTTATAATTATTTGAATGCTAAGGCTGATATACCCGTGCTAAGTTCACAAGCTCCACTCTTGTGGAAATGGAGACAGTCGCAGCTTTTTTTGTAAGAGATTCTTAGATTTCTAGAACAGCATGTAAAGAAATTACTAAAGCAAAAGCACAATGGAAAAAAAAAAAAAAAAAAAGCTACTTGTTCAAAGCCTATCCTTAATATAATGGGAAACAACATTTATACTGCCTGAAAAGAACATGGCTGGAATACACCAAAAAAAAAAGAAAAAAGAAAAAAAAAAAGAGAATAAGAGTTAGTAGCATAACTTCAAGCCTCAGCACAAATCCTTTTAGAAAGCCATTCCAATCCAGAATTTCACATGATTAGTATATTTCTATCACTATTGATCATGAGGATTGCAGAATAAAGATGACTTATGTTTAGATTATGGTCTATTTTTAAAACTTAATTATCCGAAACAACTTTCAAGAAGATATAGCTGTGAACAAAGATATTACTTTTGGACTTTTGGAGCAGACAAGCCAGTCTGCTGGTAGACAATTCCCAATGTTTTTCACCTTCCCCCTTCCATATGAATAATAACTTATGCTCTATTGGAACTTGATATTCTTTCAAAGAATTGGAAAAAACATCATCATATTATCACTCCACCAAATTTAGACAGGCCCTTTTACTTTAGTCAAGTGGATCAGAAGCATGTGATATACTATAGAGTGCATCAAACCATATAACATTCATTAGATATTACTACATTATCAATTCTCCTTTTCTTCTATCATTTTCTCCCATACAACAAAACTATGATAAAGTAAACAAGAGAGACACAAAAACTTTAAGTACTAAAAAAACAGGAACTCGAAAGAGATATCCTCAATCAAATTGAATAACAGAAAAAGTTCCAATACTTCTCTTGGAAGGGGGAAAAAAGCTCTAGCTATTGGGAATTCAATACTTTTAACACCAATACACAAAATTCCTACTCTTTATAAGGAAAAGAATCACTATAAACTAAATTAATGGGGTTTTAATTAAATCAAAATGCATGTATACATGCATAAGTTTATGATTTCTGCATATGATAGTAAAAAGCTATTAGAGTTTAATGAATAAGTACATAACCTGTACCATATAATTTCAGCATATATTTTCTTCGTTTCAACCAAGGCAGTAGTATTTTTTCTCTTCATTTCTCCCCATCAAATGATCCATAGAAAACATTTAACTACATACATGAAATTTATTTATATTGAAAGTGATACGTGGCATAAACTACACTATCAAAAACTAATTAAAATTCTGTATTACTTCACTCTTGTATTAAGTGATACGCAATTGTATTGCACAACCATGATCAATCACACAACATGTGCAATAGCAGGTTCCAGCACTTGCTATTCACAGACTCTAACCTATATAACATCATCAACCATTGATTGGAAGACACAGTTGCAGGACTTATTCATGAAACTTAAATGATCACATAAGATGGGAACTCTATGATTGATGAGGCCAAAAACCTAATAGATAATAGTCTGTATGCAATTGTGAAGTAAAAGAAAACAAGAAAAACTACGACACATTACCACGATCATTTGTTTGCCTAGGGTATAGAGCTGCATTTCTAAAATAGGCCTTTTCTGTAAATTACACTAATTTTCTTGCTAAACAAGTATTAATTTAAGTGAAATCTTAAAAACAGGATGCATGGGATAGCATCACTTGTGAATCACATATTAGTTCACTAAACTAACCACACCAAGTATCTAGAATGAATATATAACCCGGTACTTCATTCCTAATAATCTGATATCTAGAGAATTTTTTTTCTTAAAAAAAAAGAAAAAAAAAAAAGAAGAGTCCATCTTATAATTGCAGAATGAGAGGCAGAAGTAATTTTAAAGTAGGACGATATGAGATGGACTCATTTGCCAACAACTTGATTGCAAAACATGAAATGTTCACTTGCAAATTTGCAATTATAATTCCTACGAAGCTCTAACCAGGTTTTCTGTCATTTGAATTTGAGGTATCACAAAAAGAAAGAGTAAATATTAATGTGACTGCGTTGAAAGTGGCAAAAAACTGCATGACACCGCTGAGCCATTGAAATGTCAAAATCAGAATCTCACACACATCATGTTTACTTTCAGACCTCATTTTCCCTCTGACACCGCAAAACAAATTTAAGAAAAAGAAATGGGAGTAACAAAAATGAAAATAAAGTGAAAGGAAACTGGTGAAAAATAATCGAAGTATAATAATAATAATAATAATAATAATAAAATTAAAAGAGTTCTTCCATCCAATGGCTTTGCTACGGAGTTAGCTATGTCTGACCTACATCCCCAAACAAGACTCTCGGTCAAGCTTTTGATTGTATCTTACCACTTCACATTTACCCTTTATTGTCTAAAATAAATTTAGTGGAAAAAATATACAGTCAACCGCGCAAAACACGCAACCACAGAAGCACTTTTCAGAATATAAAAAACAGACACTAGATCTCTTTCATCTCTAGGGTTTTTCTTTTATTGCTCGACAGTATCAATTACTGCCTTAACTGAAACTTTCATTGTTTTTTGAATAGGTATTACTGATGTTCTTAATCTGAGGGTTCTTTTTGCAGAAACAGAAAAAAGGATAGAGAGAACTATGACTGTCTGTATGACTAGGAAATGAACGGTTGTCGCTTCCTGTGGGTTCAGGCTATCATGCACTATCAACTTACACGCAAGATGTTCCTGTAGGTTTATAGGGTACATAGGGCTGATTTTCCTGCTTTCCCTTGGGTAATTTCGTGTGGATGGAGCAGATGATACAGGTTTAGAGAGAGAAATTGAAATCCACAGCACGAAAGCCAAGGGGATAATTAAATAAAAATAAAATCAATTAATAAGAAATTGAGGAAGAGAGGTTTACCGCCGGAAGTGCCTCTAGCAGAGGCGCCGGTGCAGAGATTCCGGAGCTGCATCTCAATCTTGTTTAAGAAGGTAGTCGCTTCATCAAAGGGCCTTGAGAGATCGGATTTGTATTTGACCAAGATATCGCAGTAGGTTTCCTAAACAAAGAAAATGCGAAATCGTCATATGATGAAAAACAAAACAAAACAAAAAGTTGAGAAAAAGTCAATTAAGGAGACTGAGAGAACCATGAACTCGTCGAGCTCAGGATCTGCTCCCAAGCACGTCGGCACCGCGTCTCGCTTGTAAACATCATTCTCTCTCAGAATTTCGTCCAAAACCGATGCTATCTCCGGCGGTGCTCCGACCTAGTGAAACAAGGAACTCCAACGAGATTAGCGACCGGAAACAAACAAACACCATGAAATTCTAATCAGAAATTACAAATAAACGGTGCTTCTCTCGAGTTTGTTGCAAATAATAACAAGCGTTTGGATCTTGAAAACGAAAACAAAGAAGAAATCAGCACAAATTCCTCCATAAAATTAGTAGTTGAAAGCAGGAATTCCTAAGAAGAGAAAAGTTGACAATAAAACCTCAGAGAGTCAAAACATCAAACACATAGAAAACTAAAACAGAAAAAGAACTGTAGCGTTTTTTTTTTCCCTCTTCGCAGCGCCTGCAAACATCATCTAGACCTTCAAAACAACACTAACGAGCTATGAACAAGCTCAAAATCAGTTTATGCATATGCAGCTTCCTTTCCACTGGTTAATTTGCTTGCACCAGAAATAGAAAGAGAGCGACGCTTCACCTTCTGGCAATCGATGTACGCCTCAAGCAAGCGCGGATACGAAGGATGCGAAGCGATTCTGGCTTTGATGATGCTGGTCATGTCTTCTTCCCGTTGAATTTCAGGCGCGATGGAAGCAGCTTCGGAGATGGCGGAGGCCGCGGAGAGCAACTCGTCGGATCCAAACATCGGAACCCGACCCGAAGAACAAAGCAAGGCATGGTAATCGGACGGTAGGATCGGGTTGTCCGGCGACATCAAGGCCTTGTCCGACGCGTACTCTCCCGTGGAATGAAAACCGTACATTCCATCCATGAAATGCGAGCGAGCTTGCGTCTAGGAGAAGAAGAAGATCAACCAAAATGATTATGGCAGTGAATAGTGATGTTACTGATAACGGCGAATAATAATAATAGTGCTGAGAATTTTCCGAGAAAAATTGAGAGAGAAAAGGAAGAAGAAGAGAAAGATAGGATTTGCTGAAATTGGTGTGACAGAGGACTACTGGTTGCGGTATTGGGGACTGTTGTTTTTAGGCAAAAATCAGTAACAGCTGCTGTAAGCCTCAAGCTAAGCTAGGGGCCTCTGTTCTTTTGTTTATCTTTATTATTATTAATTTTAATTATATATATTATATAATCTGAAATATAACAAATTGTGAATTTTCTGATTTTGTAGGCTTTCCTTTCCTGCGGTTGCATGTCAGCTCTATTGGACTTCGGCAAAAATTCATGCTGCAAAACTACTAAACTCAATTAATTGTTTCATTTTTATTTTTACCATTATTTATTGCTGTTATTTTTATGGTAGAACATTTTTTAAGTTTCTGACTTGAATTGTTGTATTAGTTTATTGAATTTAAAGTCCCGAGGACAATCTTGTATGAAGCCATAAAATCTTATGGTAAAAATTTATAAGAAATATGTGAATTAAATATAATATAATTTTATTTTATATATTTATAATTAAATAATAATTTTATTTAATTGATATTTATTTATTTAAAAATCTTAATATAGAGTCAATAGCATTTAAGGTTCCAACTTCTATCACCTTGTGATGTAAGAAAAAAAAATCCCTTACATCTACTTATAACCAATTCATTCTATAAATGAAAATTAAATACGTAACTTTATAAGTATTTATATAATTTAAAATTAATTAATAATATATAAATATTTTTTTACATTTAATTCATAAATTTTTAATGCTTTTTTCAAGTGAAATTTTTTCTCTCTTATTACATACTTCTCACGTACAAGTTGGATATAAATATTGAGTATTATCTTGTGAATCTCATTCTATAGACTTAATCTAGCAAAAAAATTGCTTATATACCATATATGAATCCTCATACAAAATATATTTTTAATTTAATAAGAATATTTTTGTATTTTTTTATTCTAAATTGATATTTTTATGCAATAATAAAAAGCTCTTTGTATTTTTTCCTACTGGTGGTTTTGTTTTACTTTCAGTACATACGATTTTTAGAAGAAAAAACTCCAGCATTGTACAGCAGCAGAACCGCACGGCTTGCTGTTTCCCTTCATAAATTGGCAATCTTAACCATTCCTTTTCTTTAATATCTTTTTAGTTTTTTTATATTTGATAATAATGCATAGATTTTATTACATATACTTGATTGTTTTTGCAAATTTTAATGTACTAGCAGATGAAATAAATGTGCCTTGTACCTAACTTTAATTTATCGTATTCAAACCAACACCTTGTGGCTCCTGAATTTCTGACATACGTAGTGGTATTTAGATCAGCAATTCAGATAGAGTAAACAATAAATAATTGTATACGACTATTGATGACCATTATTAGGAAGAAAATGAAAACTAAAACGTCTATATATTTAAAATATTAAGATATTGTAAAATTATATACATATTTGTAATAAATATTTCTTATATATTAATTTATTAAAAATATTTAAATTATTATTATTGATATTTTAATTATCAAAATATTTTTATTTTTATTAATCTCTACCATTATTTATAATTTAAATATTTTTATTTATCCTATTAATTGATATTGCTATTCAATAGTATCAAATTTCCATCTCAAGTACCCTTATAACCATCATATCGATTTTCAGTGTTTTCTATTGTTTACGTACTGATATATATTTTTTTATAACCATAAAGTGATGTATATAATGATTAGCTTTTGAGTTCTATGTTAGTAAGTTTATTTTTCTGGTCAAGTTAAACACAAACCAACTATGGCAGGATTAATGATCCTGGATTTTTTTTTTTTTTTAATCAGAAGGTTAATTATTGAACCTCGTAAAGATTTAAATCTTTAATTTTAATTTTAAGTTAAAGATTTTAAGATAGTAAAATCCCAACTCAATTAAATTTTTGTAAGAATGATCCTTGTTAATAAGTTCTAAGCTTCCCAACCATACCGTCACTCCATTTAGTTAAGAATTTAGGAAAAGAAAAAACTCAAAAGAGTTTTTTTTTTTTTTTTTTTTAATACTATTCCATCTCTCCATTTTAAAAAAATGATTTTAAGAGTTATTCTTATAGAAGCTTGCTAAAAGAAGATATTTCAAATTCAACTTGGTATAACTTTTATGCAGTGCTTTAACAATAACACTATTGCACTGTAGAAATTAGGAAGTGCACTGAATATGGTAAGGTTCCTGAAGAACTGTCAATATCATAGTAGGATGGCAACGAGGTGATGTTCCCAGAATTACCAGAGACGGCAGCAATTCACAGGGCAAAAAGAAAAGTTTGCAGCAATGCAAATTTCTCAACTGGAGTTAATTTTAAAGCGGAATTGCCATTAACAGGTATGATATGTAAAATGCAGAACAAACGGCTATCATTTGTTTCAAGCAACATATATTTCACACTTCCTCTGCTCCCCAGACAGATGGAATGCTACACTTTTAATGAATAACGAAGTTCTTGAAAAGGTTGAGGTATACGTTTCTTTTTCTTGATTTTTAGTTGAACAATGAACACAATTATTTCTGATTTTTTTATCCATCCACTTGCACTTGTGATTTTTTATTTTTACAAAAAGAAAAATATTATTAAGTTGTTTAAATCATCTATAAGTTTATGTATCATTTAGCAAAGCTACTTCACATGAATTATTTTTGTCTTTTCTTATTTAATAAATTATTTATATAAATCTTGTTAAATAACAAATTGTTATTAAATGAATAAAGTGTTAGATTCTGTTTAATTTAATTATTAAGAACAACTTCTAATAAATCAAATGAGATGGTTTAATGGTTAAAATTTTAAAATTTCAAGTTGAAGATCTCATGAATTGGGTGAAAAGGATTATGAGAATAGAAAAAAATTAGCATCTTTTATATAACTTATTATCAGATGTACCAAAAATAAAAAAAGACAACCTCTAATTGATAAAATATCTAATATTAGTTTGAAATTAACTTATATACCAAAGTTTCCCAACACTTTAACTAACCATTTAAAAAAATATATAAACTAATGGAATTAGCTAAATTAAACACATCATTAATTAGTAAGTTGAACTAAAGCTATGGATATGGTTATTAATCAATACTTTAATTATTTACTAAATAGTAACTTGTTATTCAAATAGAGAAAGTGTTTAAAAGTTAAACAGAGCTTTTATCATATAATTTGAAGGCAGCAACAATAATAAAGTAGCTTTGTCAAAACTATATGCCAACGGAACTTAAAAAACGTGTCTCTTTTACGATCTGTCCCTTTTCTTTTACTTTGTTTCCATAATTTTTTTTTCAACAAACTAAAACTTTTACCATGGTTATCATTGCAGGTTTTACAATTATATAAAAGAAGTACTCAGTGTTGGCCAAAAATTAGTAAAGAGATGTAAAAAAGACTACTAATATAATAGTAATGACAATCTTAAGGGAATATTGTGGCATAGGAAGACTTGAAATTCCCCCATGGGAATGATGGGGTTGGGATTGGTATTTATCTAGTTGCCAACACTCAACAGCACACCGTACAAGACCTGAAAATCCATAACCATTGCTAACAACTTGCTACTCTTGTATTTAATTTGCTTTAGTGCATGATATCAATTTTGATTCTTACTTAAATTTTTGGATTCTTAATTTTAAAGGCAACTCTTTCTAATAAATATTTTTAAAAAGTTAACTATTAAGTTTAATATTTTATTAATATAAATTATATATAGTAATTTTTAAGTTGATCTAATATATATTTATCAATTAAAAATTTTATATTTTTTAATATATATATATATATATGAAAAAGTGAACATCATCTATATTGTAAAAAATTAAGTAAAAAAATCTGAAAATTATATAATTTTAATTAAATTTCATTACAAAAACTAATATATCATAACTTTTAAAGTAGGAATAGAGCAATTTTAATATGTTCTTATGGTGTATTATTAAAATAATATAATTTTTAAATTTTTTTTACTTAAATTTTTATAAATCTAACCAATAAATATCAATTTAATCTTATATATGTATATAACACTCATGATCATACCTTTTTTTTTTATCCCCTGGGATTGCAACAATACATTAATATTCAACTCTTTAGAAAGGTCATAAAGAGACAAACAAAACCTTCCCAACTTAAACTATTGTGAACAAATTACATCATGACACTACCACATTCCAAAAAATTAGGCCTAGTGACTCAATAACTATCTTTATTTTTCAATGGAAACGTTCCAGCCAGCCAAGACTAGACATGTTTTTGGGCCTCGAAAAGTTTTCTTTTTCTTTAAAAAAAAAAAAAAAAAGAAGTGGGTTTTGATCTAGATTCATTCTGGCTGGGGAATTTTTCTTCGTTTGGCAACTGGAGCAAAAACGGAAGTATATTTTGTCCAAATATTCCAACAGTGAAAGCAGTCGCTACACTTACCATCTGCCCTCGTTAATGGTGTGGCCGACATGATTCTGGCTGTCCGATCTTTAAATCCACTGTCACTCCTTCACTCGCCTTGCCTGGATCTCCAACTTCTTCATTTATTTAACCGTTTGGGCACATGTTCTGCTGCCTCCTCGCCTAATAATTAATAACTCAAATTCAATCTCCAAATCATAAAATCCGTGATTTCTTATGTGATGCCGGAATATAGTGGGTTTGTCCTCTATCTTTAATTAAAATTGTTATCAATAAGAGTTTGATATAGTTTGTATTTATTAATTTAAAATTTTTAATTTTGAGTTAAATTTAGATTTCTATACATTAAATTGCTAATCTTTTAATGTACTTAAAAAAAAAAGTTAAAATTGTTACTCTATAAGTGATTTAAGAAGTATATTTGCTTAAAAACAAACTTTATTTAAAAAGTTTTTACTAAAAAAATAATATTTTAAAAAGTCAAGAAATTTTATCATGAAATTTTGTTAAATTTTATTAAGTTAAATGAGACAAGTATCATATATTTTGTTAATTTTTTTAAAAAATTAATGTTTAAAAAGTAAAAATAAAAACAACTAAAATTAAATTAAATTATAGCAGT